GGCCAATGGGAGCTGCTGGGAGCGGTGCCTGAAGCAACAGCCACACACACCCCTGCGCCCCTGCTCCCCCAGGTTTCGGCCGCTTCCCGGCTCGGGGGCAGGGCAGGCAGGCAGGGAGCCTGCCCTGCTCCCGGTGCACGTCGGGCCGGAGCCGCTCTAGCTAAACGCTGTGGGAGGGCGGGAGGGCCGCGAGGAGCTTGCGGGCCGCATGTTTGAGACCCCTGCTTTAGATAAATCACTAATATCATGGTGTAGAGCTGAAGTACATGACTTGCCAATGGTCATTGGCCCAAATCATTAAAAAGTATTTAGGCTCCTAACTCCCTTTGGAATCAAGGGGAGTTAGGCACCTCAGTACCTGTGAGATCTGGGCCTTTGTGTGTATCTGGTGTCTGCACTCTTAGGCCCTGGTTTGTGAGGCTGAAGAGGCTGTGTTTGAGCTTCACCTGCCTGTGTCTTTCTGTCACCCTGTCCATACCTCTCTGGCTGGCCCACTGCCTGAGCAGCTCTGTCCCAACCCCCTCTCTGTTTGTGACACTTATTCTAGACTAGAAGAGCAGCCCACCCAGCTGCTGTCTGAAATCTTCAGTTCCCTGGAGCCAGAGCTGAGAGGATTTATAGATACCTGCAATAAAGTCCAACAGTTTAGCTGCCTGCAGGTCCTGGTTACCCTGAATGACTACATGTTTGAGATGCAGGGCTCTTCCGCAGCCACCTCCTCCTCCTTCCTCAATGTGGGCCTCAGCAACATCCTGCTCCTGGCCAAGAACAACTTCAACAAGTGCATTGTGAGTCTCCATCTGTAAGCAGAGATGAGCCTCGGCGCGCTGGAGCCCCAAGCCAGCATTTACCCTTTGTGCGAATGAATGGAGCTTCCGGGCCTGATGCTTAGCTGGAGTAAACCAGCGTGGCTCCATCTAAGTCAGTCCCCCTACCCCCCAGTGAAGCCAATGCCTGTGTGGATTTGGCTCTCAGTTCTTGTGAGAATTAAAATCTCCCTGCATCATGCATTGCTAGTGTGTACTCGAGGACATCCCCACTTGTATGGGCACTCTGCGTAGGCCGTACTTTCACACAGGGCTGGGAGGCCAAGGGATTTCAAACAGCACATTCCTAAAAGCAGTGGCTGAAAATGCATCACTAGGAACTTTCCTGTCTCGGTGCTTTTAGCAGTGGCTGAAAGTTAGCTGCAAGTTATTGCCAACTGGTCATTGTTCGGCCATCTGCGTGGAGCGGTACACGGCTTTCACACTAGCTGCTAGTAGACAGGTGCTCATATCTAGGGTGACCAGACAGCAAGTGTGAAAAATCGGGACGGGGGCTGGGGGGGGTAATAGGAGCCTCTGTAAGAAAAAGACCCAAAAATCAGGACTGTCCCTATAAAATCGGGACATCTGGTCACCCTACCCATATCACAAAAGCACCACAGCTGGAACTCATGCCTGCCCTTTGTGGCTATCTCGGCTCAGGCTGAGTGCTAGATAAACATTATTTTAGCATTATCCCAGAGACCAAGGATTGAATCCTCCCTGGAGACTGAACTCCCCTCGCTTCTTTAGAAGTGGTCCGTCAGTGGCACAGTGCTGGGGCATTGGAGGGGAAGCTTGCCCTGCCAATGGCCATCTTGTACTAGTTCTGAGGCAAGCGGACTCAAGGGCTGTCATTCTGGGCTGGAGGAAGGCTAATAATACTAGTGACGTTTGCTGATGTATACCACACAGGAGGTCAGACTAGACAATCCCAATGGTACCTTCTGACCTTAAAATCTACCAGCCTATGAATGAAAGCACTGAAATTGACCATGTTATCATTCCTGATTCATTCCTGTCGGTTACAAGTACAGGGCTCAGCTGGCTCTGATGCTGGCATGCAGGCTCTAGTGGGGATTGCTTGCTGACAGGCTCTTTGGCATGCCAACCCCAGAGCCAGGGACTGGCCAAGTCTGAGAGTGTTCTGTTTTATTCTATTCCTCCCAGTGTGTCCTGTGCAAAGAAATCGAGGAAGCGAAGGTACCTAGCAGGGCTAAGGGCGGGATCCTGCCTTTCGTCAGCCGCTTTGAGGAGTTCGTGAATTTCTCGGAGGATGTGTTCAGATGGGCTCAGCGGAGAGGCGAGCTGGACAAAGCTCACACCAAACTGGTGGGCAGCGTCTTCAGCAGCAGTGAGTACAGAGAGCCAGTGGTGAAGTAAGCTTAGACCTGAATCACAACATTCAGATCTGGAGCAGTATTTCAAACCCCCTATTTTAAAGCCCAGGGTGTTTGGATCTGGATTCTGGTTCTGTTAGTGGCACAGAGAGGCCAGCATGAAATTTGGATCCTGATCCAAGTTGGAAGACTGAAATCCCTCACACACCCCCACACACATATATGCAGCCACCCATGTGTATGCACTATGCACAGAAAAACACACCCACATGCAAAGGCTTGTTTGGGGTCCCAGAGGGATGGCATAGAGTCACTCTTCCTTCCTTCCTGAGCTGCACCAAGTGAAAACCCAGTACAGCTGAGGGCTGAGAATGCATTTCCTGGTTATAGATACACCGAAGCAGAGAGAATACAAGAGCAATATTAAGAAGTCTCAGGAGGTGCAGAGTCACTGGAATAAGTTGTTAGAAAGAAGGTCTCCCCCCAAAAAGCACTGCTGTACATTGGCCAAGAGAAAGAGAGGGAGGTTGATAGTTTGCAGGTTGCACTCTGCATTGCCGTGCAAGAGATCCTAACGTGGGTCTCAAAGCTGGTCTCTTGCTTCCGAGCCTGGCAGGGGCTCAGGGTGCTGTGGAAACGATACCCCCTCCACACACCAGAAGGCTGAGCTGCCCAGACTTTGCAAGCTGGAAAGCTACATTAGCACCTTTCCCTGATGCAGAGGGCGGAGCCTTCTTTGCATATTATCCTGGATGAGCTGCCTCACTAATGCAATCAATACCAGGCCTGTCAGGGCACCAGCTGCGTTTATTATAAAGCATCTGAGATAGGAAATAAAAATAAATTACATAAATCGTTATTTACATTACAATGTTATTATCCCTCCGGTATTGGAACCAGCCAGCCATTCAGATGGGACAGGCTAAGAGCCATTAGCTCCAAAGCATAATCTATAGGCAAGACTCTAGGGCTAGGAAGGTTGAATCAGTCTGTGGACTGGACTGATAGGACTTGCCTAGACTCTCTGGAAGACCCTTCTGGATTTGTGCATGGTGGGCTTAACTCATCCTGTCTTTTCACCTTGTATCTCCCCTCCATTCCTCCCCATCTTGATTATCAAAAGGTCCCTCTAGGCCTATGGGCTTTCTCCCTTTCTTTTTAGTCAATAGTCTGGCCTCAGCAAACCTGAAGGTCAATACGGACATGGTCATGATGGAAAACTTCCACCACATCCACTGCTTTCTGTACCAAAAGAAGATCCAGTGCTTGGAAAGCAAGAGAAGGGAAGCCAAGCAAAGGTACCGTGAGCACCTGGAGAGATATGTCACCAAGTATCTGGGACAGCCACTGGAGAAACTCAATGTGAGTACATTGCAAGCCACAACCTCCTCTGTCTGTAGCAGGGGTAGGCAACCTATGGCACGTGTGCTGAAGGCGGCACGTGAGCTGATTTTCAGTGGCACTCACACTGCCCGGGTCCTGGCCAGTAGTCCAGGGGGATCTGCATTTTAATTTAATTTTAAATGAAGCTTCTTAAACATTTTTTAAAAACTTATTTACTTTACATACAACAATAGTTTAGTTATATATTATAGACTTATAGAAAGAGACCTTCTAAAAACATTAAAATGTATTACTGGCACGCAAAACCTTAAATTAGAGTGAATAAATGAAGACTCGGCACACCACTTCTGAAAGGTCGCCGACCCCTGGTCTATAGTATGTATCTGTCACTCCTTACTAGCCTAACTGAGCACCTCATAGTCTTTAATGGATTTATCCTCACACCATGCCTAAGTCCTTTTTACAGCTGGGGAACCAAGATGCAGAAAGGCTAAGTGACTTGCCTAAGGTGGTAGAGCAGCAACTGGAACCAAGTCTACCATGTGCTTGGCTAGTGCCCTAACCACTGGACCAGTCTACCTCTCCAGCAGGCACTACCCAGGAAGTCCCAAGGCTAATCTGAAGCACTCTTTTGACCAGGGCCGGCTCCAGGAACTAGCAAAGGAAGCAGGTGCTTGGGGTGGCCAATGGAAAGGGGCGGTACATCCGGGTCTGCGGCGGCAATTTGGCGACGGGCCCCTCAGTTCCTCTCGGAGCGAAGGACCCGCTGCCGAATTCCGAAGCGGCGCGGTAGAGCTGCCGCCGAAATGCCGCTGATCGCAGCTTTATCTTTTTTTTTTTTCTTTTTTTTTCCCGCTTCGCCGCTTGGGGCAGCAAAAAAGCTGGAGCTGGCCCTGCTTTTGACACTGCAAAAAGAAAAAAATAAGTGTTTTAACCAGAGCTAGCTCTCTCTGGTTAAAATAGCAGTAAAGCCACAGCAACTCAGGTCAGCCACCTGAGTTCAGACCCAGGCTGTCCTATAGGCTTGAATCCGAGTTTCCCTATCTTCAACATGATCTTAATCCGAGTTAGCTAATCTGAGTTGAGAATGCAGCTTTTGTTGCTGTGTAGACAAGCCTTACTTTGCTCTCACCTCCTTTATCCCCTACAATACTAGGCAGCCCTTGCTATCTAATATCCATTAGCACAAATCTCATGCTTTATATGTCAAAAGTGCTTCTCAAACATTGGCTGAATGAGGTCCTTTTTCCCTGTGGGGGATAATTCAATTTTTGCCCTAGAGCAGGCGAGCTTCTGCCCTCTAGAAATGAATACAGCTCTTCCCAAAATGCTGAGGATACAAACTCTGCAACTAAACCCTCTATTGGATTCACACACCCCATCCAAGAGACATTTGGAGGACAGGACAGGAAGGAGTTGCCCTGTTTGTGAGATCAAAGCCAGAATTACTCCGGTGAGACTAACACTCACCATGTCTGTGCATCGCTGCTCTCTCTAGCTGGCATCAGTGGGTAACACAGCCCCACTATTGTACGTGAGTGAGCAGAACTGCTTGTGCACCTGAACTGGCTTTGAACTGATGGGACAGATTTCTATCACTGCTTTCTCTTTTGGCTGCATGTCTGTGGCTGGCTGATGCTGGTTCTTTCTCGATGGCTGCTAGCGCAGAGCCTCCTAACATAATTTCAGGGTTCCCAAGTGATTGATTTGTTAACTGAACTAAAAGCATGGCTCCACTCAAGCAGACATTCAGCTCTTTCCCATAGTTCCTTGCCACTCCACTAACCCCTTGCTGTTCTGATTAATGCTCACCCACCTGCTCATTGGCCTATAACTTCTAATAAAAGCTAGGCCCAGCTGGACTTAATTGAAATGCCTTTTGGTTTTGATTTGCTTCTGGTCTTCGCTATCAAACGCCTCCTGCCCCTGGAAGATCTGCTCAGCTATGACACCAGCCAGAGCTTCAATCAACTAGCCTGTGCTAATTGTTTTGTCTTCCATTGATGAGGGCTGAGTGGAATTTCATTGTTGGTGGCAAGGCAAAGTGACTACATTTGTGGTGTCCATTAGCAGTGCTCTGCTCAGTGAGAGGAACCCTGAGCAGTGTCTTTGCTGCCCACAGCTGCTCCCCATGTGACTCTTCAGTTATGAGCTGCTTAATTTACTGACATGGGGTAAAATTTTCAAAAGTGATCAGCTGATTTAAGAACTTAAGTCCCCTTTTCATTTAGGAGGTGTAAGGGCTTGTCTATGCAAATGCTTTGTTCACAGCAAGCTGGGGTGCTGGGCACTAACCGTCCATTGGACCCTGCTGCCGTGCACTAACAGCTCCCTCGTGTACAGCCCGGTGTGCTGCAGGCTAGCGCGGGCTAGATTTACACCCCAGCTTCCCACCAAGTAAGTGTTTGTGTGAACAAACCCAAGTATCACTGAAAGTCTGGGGGACATAGGAGCTCACATCACTGTTGGGACAGCAGGGGAGTCATTCAGCGGCTGGTGCACCCCTCAGGACCAGCATGGTGTACCAACCTCTTCTACTCTAGCGCCCCCTGTCAATGGTCACTCCAGTCCTGGGGTGATTTGCCCCTTTTCATGGGTCTGCTCTCTGCCCAGCTTGCTTCTAGTCCCACCCATTCAGGGGGAGAACAAGACCAATCAAGCAGAAGCCTAATGACCCTGTCCCAAGCCTTCAGCCCCACCATGGACTCAATAGTCCTTGTCCCCCTTTGTGTCAGGACTTTTGCCTCCCCTTCTTTGAGTGTTAGTAGGGGAAAACAGGCCCCCCATCTCCAGTCCATGGACCTTGCATTAAGCAGCCAGGGTCTGCTCCGATAGACTCGCTACTGTTTCCCTGGCCCACTTTCTTCAGGCTGATGCTGAGTCCCCTCAGGCTCTCTGGCAGCATGTAGCCACCCACAGGCTGGGCCTCCTCCTTCTCCAGGCACCTGGGACATCTCTCCCTAAGTGCCTTCTCCTGGGAGCTCCATTCCTCAAGTCTTCCTCCCCAGAAGGCTTCACTTTCTAGGAGAAGCCTTTTAACTCAGCTGTGGTTGGTCAGCCACTTAATCACAGCTGGGGAAGTAACTGTGCTGCCAATTAACCCCCTGTGTGGCTGCTACAGGGGGGAGAGAGAAGGGTGGAGGAGTGTATGCACCCGATAATAGAGACAAACTCCAGGAGCTAGTTTTTCCTAGTGCCAGCACTGTGGAGCCAATATCCTGGATCAGCAGAAGAGAAACCTCTGTTCTCTTCTGCTTTATGCAGCCCGTATAAAGCCACCAGCTATATTTGGATGCCAGAACCTTTATAGTTGATGAGGTATGTGGAGCAAAAAGAACCACAGGTTGCTTTTCAAATATCAGGTAGCATCAGTGTTGCTAAAGGCATCCTCCTCTGCAGAACATAAAGACTCTGGCCCTGCACGAACGGTCAGATCTGCTCAGTCAAAGCCCAGCAAGAGGCCTGAGAAAAGGCTTCTGGAGTCAGCCAAAAAAGAGCTCAGTAGAACCACACTGTGGAACAGCTGGTGCATGGTTTGTCTCCTTTGCCTCCCCAGCATTTCTTCGAGGGGGTGAAAGCCCGCGTGGCTCAGGGGGTGAAAGAAGAGGAAGTGAGTTTCCAGCTGGCGTACAGCAAGCAGGAACTGCGGAAGGTGATAGAAAAGTACCCTGGCAAGGAGGTGAAGAGAGCTCTGGATACTCTCTACAGGAAGATTCACAAGTATCTCTCCCCTGAGGAAAACCTCCTGCCGGTAAATATGACCTGGGCACCGCTCACAGGGTGCAATGCAGTGGTGGCTTCATGTGTTTTGGGGGCCAAGCTTGCCAGGCAACAATAAATGGCAGAGGGAAGGGAACCTCCTATCTTCTTCTCTCTGACCATCACTCCCACTGTGTTGATTCCCTTTTCGTGCCCATTGTTTCATCTCCTCAAACCATCCTCTGTTATTTCTATCCTCCCTCTTCCCAGTGACTTGTCTCTGCTCCCTGCTTCTCTTAGTATCTTTAGTTACTCATGAAGTCTGAAAATTAGTGGGAATTCCTCCATCTCTGCTCCCTTAGGGGGAACTCTTACTGGGCTAGTTTTGGGGCCTAGGGCCCAGATCCTCAAAGGTATTTAAGCACCCAGCATCCATTAATTTCAATGGGAGATGGGTTCCTAAGTGCCTTTGAGGATGTGGGCCTAGAAGCTCCAAGGTCAGCCCTCTGCATGTCCCTTCCTCTTGGGCTGGCGGTTGCACTCATGCAGCAGGCAGTGAAAAACGTGCCTCTGTGGGTGTGGATGGTTACCTAGTGTTGCAGCAAACCCCGGAAGGGAGCAGGGTAGGACGCTCCCAGTAAGAGAGGTCATTGACTCCAAGTGTTTTACTTACAGGTGGTCTGGCGAGCCATGGAACAGGAGTTCATACGGCAGTATCAAGAGTTCGAGAACCTGATCCAGCGCTGCTACCCAGGGTCAGGGATCACAATGGACTTCACCGTGGAGGACTTGCTGAACTATTTTATCTCCATCACTCAGTCCAGCATGTGAAAGCAATTCCTGCTGACTAGGCACGTGGTGAGAACAGCTCCCGCTGGTGCCAAAAAAGCTCCATCAGCAGCCAAGGAGCTGAAATGACCATCTGAAAATTTACTCCGGACTGACATTTGGCACAAGAGTTCTCAGCCTAGGTTTAACCCAATATGGGGGTCTACTGAATTAAAGGGGAACTTTCACAGTCGTCAGCCTAAAAATTGACCTTCCCTGAGAGTGGAAGCTTTGGGATTCCTTTTCCCCCAACAGATCCATGCACAGCCAATAATAAGCCCAAACTGCTGGGTTTCTGTGACTCTCATGGTGAGTGCTGTCACCTCCTACAGCATTGCTTTGTAACATCCTATCAGAGTGAGTGGTCATAGAAATCTCCTGTCGGAGCAACCCATGCTCATTAGATCCTTTCTGAGCACGCACATCAGCTTCTTTATGCCAAGTCGCACAGCATTGATCAGATGGGGAAAGGAAGCATGATATATTTGCAATTCTGAACTTATGAATTTATAGGAGGGTCCAAGTCGGGATGTAATTTTTGGCCACTTTGACTATTTCCGGTTAATCTCTCTTCCACATTCAACATATCTGGTTTTATATAAAACTAGAGATGGATCCACAGTTAACAATTTGGATCTGGATTTCAAACGCCCCAAAATGCCAGGGAGTCCAGATCTAGGGGATTGGTGCAGCCCATTGTAAAACTAAGGATCATTTGTAAAATCTGGATATGGGTTTGGAATTCCAACACCCCTAATGTTTATGGTTGTTTGGGTTCGAGGTTTTGGTTTAGGTCTGTCTATACAAAGCACAAAGTTTGTTTCCTTTCCATAGCTCAGCGTCTCCCACAATTCTGGTATGAATGGGCTATTCTCCTCCTGTCTGCAGTTTCCACGGGCGGTTCAAAGCTGCAGCAGAGCCTGTGCTAGTCATGTCCCTTTCTCCTGCTTGCTGCCAGTTCTTCGGTTTCCACAGAAGCAGGCAAATGGCGGTTTGCTTCTCTCCTGTCCCTTTCTTTTAGATGTAGTTGTAGCCATTTTGGTGGCAGTTATAGTATTTGTGTTTTATTTTCAAGTCTCCTCACCTCCTCCCAGTCAGGATCTAAGCAGCACCAGGGTCAGAGACACCCGGATTGGCCTCAGAGTCCGAAACCAGAGCAGCCCATTCTCTCTTTGATATGTCTGAAATGAGCCATCTCTCTGCTTGCCAAGATCATTTCCACAGGCTTGCCCAATAGCAGCTGGACATGCCATAAGGGGTGGTTCTTGTTTCTTCCTTTGGCTGCATTGAAGCAAATGGATCCATGCTTATGAATGACGCACTGCAACATAAAGGGCTTTCCATCACACATGTATGCATGCTGTTAGCCATTCTCGAATGTTGCTTAATCTATCAATTCTGCTGTACAAAGAGTTTAAAAATAAGAGTTATTTTATGTGACGTTGTTATGAATGTTTCATTTCCTAGGATAGGGCAAAAACTCTTATGCAACCTGGAGCAATTTCCCAGGGATCTTCCCGCTCTTACCTAATTTAGCTTGTCTGCCCATTGACAGTATCACAAGATAATAAAATCCTTTCAGTGTTGGCCTCATTGCTTTGACCTGTTCTTGTATCCCAATGTGGTCACTTCGTATTGTACGGGATGTCTACTCAGGCAGCCTTCCCTCATGGCACTGGGATGAATCTGAAGCTCTTGGCTCAATACAAAGTAAAATCTTTTTTAAAAGCCCTACCAAATTTTGTATGAATTTGGTGATAGAAAAAGACCTGATCTTTCCCCATTGAAAGGCATGGGGGCTCTGCCATTGACTTCAGAGGGAGCAGGCCCAAAGATGGAAAAGGACAGCTGTAGAGCCTGGCATATCATGGGCAGGGGTTATGCTAGTTTCCTCCCAACAGCTATGCCAATACACCTCATACAGGCATGTAGCACTCTCCTTGCTATTCCAGGCCTGAGCTTCTGCTAAGCTGAGACTTCCTCTTGGGAAAAACTGTGAGGTGGTGTTGTGAGAGGAACCAGTATCCACACAGCTCTAAAATGCTAACACAACTATACACATTATCATCCTCCACCGTCAGCTAGATTTCAGCCCTGATCCAACAGAGTCCAGATTTCCTGAACTCCAGGGTGCATTGCCAGGCCTAGCTGTTTTCCCAGGCTGTCCTTGATGACTTGGGATGTCCGGATATGAGTGTGTGGAAGGAGGGGTCCTTGTGGGAGGTAGGAAGTTCATCCTGGATAGTGGTGCATCTGAATGTTGTGCTTTTCAGAAGGTGCTTAGCTGTTTGGACAGGCACTTCCCAAGCATTTGGTTGTTCTACATGTGTGCTAGGCACTCTACAGTCAAAGGAAAAGGCAAGGTCTAGGCAGTTCACCATTTCCCCCCAGTTTAAAAGTTCTCTCTCCTAGTCATAAGAGTATCATCTAGGAGGTATTAATGAGCAAGTCCTAAATCATCTGCAGGGATGTAGCAGCTGATAATGTCGTTCTCTGTTGGTTTTACAAAACATCTTTCACATGTAGCAGGTGCTGAAGAACCGAACTATCAAAGAAGATGACAAGTGCAGGACATGAGACCAGCAGTAACTGGGTAGAAGTGCAGGGCTTTAAGTCTGACCTTTAAATGGCTAATAGAGTCAGTTGCGTGAAGGTCAAATGGCAGCGCATTCCGCCAGCTTCGGGTGAGTGAGGAGTAGCCCAGAGAACTGACGGGCTGAGAAGTTGAGAACAGGACCTCGGGCATGGCACACAAGTTTGTTGCTCCAGTTTTAGGCAGGGGTAGCTCCACTGACATCATTGGCATGGAGCTGGAGTTACACCATGATGAACCACGAGCTCAGAGGACAGGTAGAGCAGCATGGATCAAATCACACAGATAAGGCAGAGCCAGAGAGTGGAGAATCTTGAATAAAGTGGAGGAAAGTCTGCAGGTTCTCCTCAGGTTAATCGGTAGCCAGTGTGGCTGCTTGGAGAGGGATCCTGAGGTCCAGGGGACATTGATGCCACACCCAGAGACTCTAAACTCAGTAGTACTCACACAGGCCTTGTCAAAGCCCTTTTAGCGCCACCACTAGGAGCAACATGGGGAGCTCTACAGTGGACAGGACATCAGCATGTACCATCATGAACCTGCTTATAATTGCAGGGATGAGCAGTTCCTTCCTGCCTCATTGATGCTCTAGTGTCCCCGGGGGCACTGAGTGCGCGCACAACCTGATGGGACAATATGGCCTTTGCCTGTCTCAGAGGCACAGAGCGCCCCCTGGAGGCAGGGAAGGAGTGGGATGCACCTGGTGATTCCCAGGCAGGCACATCCTGCACAGCTGGGGTAAGCCCACGAACTGCAGTCGTGTGCCCCAGTTTCTGTTTTCCGGGAGCTCCCTGTAGCCTGTGTTATTGCACAGGGAGCCCGTATTCTTTATTTTAGAAGCAAGCGTGTGTTACATACAAAGCTGGGGAAAATGCCTGAGATCTTTGGCCCCAACCTGGTCAGCTGCTTTGTACGAACAGAATCCAAGGTCTCCACGGAGGGGAGGGAGCAACTTTCAGGAGTCAGGCTTTTATTTATACTCGCTCTATCTCTTTTCCTTGGGAACTCTGCTCCCAGCACAGCTCAGATCTGGGGACCAGGAAGTGGTTAGCTGAAGGGGACAGAGTTCTTTCAGGCTGTTTTGCTGAGCTTGCCTGTCTTCACTGCGTGCAGGTACTGGGCTTTTTTCTTTTTTCCTACTAACATTTCACTCATGTTCATTTCCTGAGATCAGACAACACTTGAATATTAACTCTAGAGTAGGGTTACCATAGGTCCGGGTTTCCCCAGACATGTCCGGCTTTTGGGTCTTTAAATAGCCGTCCGGGGGTAATTTGTAAAAAGCTACAAATGTCCGGGATTTCCCCCGGACGGCTATTTAAAGATCCAAAAGTGGCTGACAGGGCAGCCGCGCCGGCGGAAAGCGGTACTGGGAGCAGCATGGAGCGGCTGCGAGAGGTGGGTGCGGGCGGCCCGGTTCCCCCTGCCTGGGGCTCCCTGGCTCCCCCTGCCTGGGGCTCCTCTCGCCCACCGGGGGGGCATGGGCTCCTCCTCTGCAGCACTGCCCGCCGCGGGGC